TGTTTAAATTATTTTAAATGTTTTATTTATTGACACAACATTAATTAGCTTAATATTTTAGGTAAAGTGTACATCTAGTTTGGATCTATTGATAGTTTAGTAATCAACACATGCAGGTGGAATCTCAAAATGTTCAACAAAAGCTTTCAAAAATATCTATATTTTCCTTGCATGTAAACGGTATGCAGATTAATTTAGTGACGTTTCTGGATACTTGATTCTCTTACCAATTAATAGATGTCAGAATAGACGACTAATTATGTATCAGTCGTCTATTTTTTTAAGGAGAATAATGAATTAGTTTCAGATCACAAGTTGCGATCAGACCACACACGACAAGAAGGGGGGAAGCCAGAGCTGGACAGAAAACATGAGGCAGGAAAAGATGAATTACAACCTGCTTCTGGAATCAATAATCCCACCAATCACCACCTCTCAGCACCACAGATCTTTTCCTTTCACTTAACCAAGCAGAGGGTGTGACAGATGCAAAGAGCAAAGTCGGTCGATTTATGAGGCTCCGTCACAAAGCAGGAAGCAGCAATAGACGCAGAGAGAAACCTCTCTGTGTCTGAGAGGGACGAGGAAATGCAAACAGGTCTGACAGAGAAAAGATAATATTTTCCTCTCGTTGAAAAAATAAATCTGTCCCACCGTTCTTCCTTGTTTATTTGACAGATGCTTTCCCTCTGACATGTTCCTCGTCCAAACAAGGAAGTCTAATGTGCTGCAGCAAGCACTAACAAGAAGGTTTCTGCAGCCTTATAGCTCTCCTATACATATTTAACCACACTGTTATACAGACCAGATTGTTGCAGACTGGAGTGTGGGCAGAAGCACTGAGACATGATGCAGCTTGAGAAGTTTTTTATTTTAAAAATATTCCTTTGTGGAAAAAATTCATGCAACTGTTTAAAAACTGCAGCAATCTTATTTTACTCTTATTTTGGGGAAAATACATTGATTTCCTCACTTCTACTTTCTACTAGATGAGAAAATTATGTCAGAAATTTTATGGGGAAAAATATATTTTGTTATCTCAAATTAACAAACTTCTTTGATTTTTTTTTTTAAAGAAAATGTGTTTTGTTTTTCTGAGATAGACATGATTTTAATCAAATAAATATTTTTTAGACACTTTGGCATCATGTTTGTAGATCAAAGACAGTTTAGAGTCCATCTCATGATAAACTTTTGTCGTAAATATGCCAAAAATTTGCAGCATTCAAATTTATAGCAATGCAATCCTTTCATCCAGTCAGATTCATGTGAATTTACATGCAGCCCAATTCAATGTATTTACAATAAATGCAGCTAGCTGTGGTCTGCAAAATTTAAAAAAAATTATCTAAGAAAACCCAGGTAGCAAGTCTTACTGGAATTTGAGAAAATATCTTCTTTAATACTTTGTAAAAAAATATATATATATATTCACTTGCTTTTGCAGCAACAGCTACGTCATTCATGTGAGGCTTATTGTAATTTCACTCCGCTGGTTCAGATGAAAAAGCAAAACTCAAAGGTCCTAATGCTGAGCCAGAAACATTTGTTCCCAGACTCCCTGTGCAAAACGTTGTGATAAGATTCAAATAAGAAAGTATTGATTCCGTCTAGTTAGAACAGACCATGAATGAAATCACCGATCTCTGCTTGGTAACTTAAAGTAACAGTTCATTAGGAGAAACTCCTTTATCTTCATCTTATCACAAATCTGTGATTTTCCAGCAATTCCTTCTCTAAACAAGCATGTGGTGATGGTGGAAAATAATGACCGCCTTTTTTCTAAAATATTCTTTTCCTCAACAAAATATAAGACCTTTTGTACAAGAGAAGAATACAAGGCATTGTTGGGAAACCAACAAAATGTCTCTCTGACAGACATACACAACTTGTGACTTGTGACACAACCTTTACAATGCATGGGTCCCCAGACGTTAGCAAATCAAACATATACAAAACTGCAGGTGAATCAAAGTTTAAATAATATGCAAAGAAAGCAAATTTGTCAGTACATAATATCTGAAAGCCTGCACACGGACAGGCAAGGCCGAAAGATACCAAAGTAGAAAGCAATGATTTAAGAAATAAAAATACACTTTATCCTTCTCACCAACTGCACCAAACAAAGCAGGTGTTAAAGGTCAACTAATCTGGTGGCCAGAGAAACTGTAGAACTGAGAAGGAGCGGTTCAAAGAACACATTTCAGCTGCAGGTCTGAAAAAATGTGAGTTTTGATCTGCTGCTCAAATTCTGCAAGTTTGGTTTGTATAAAATGATCTTTAGTATGGTTCATATTCACTATACATCTCACCTGAACGAGTCTCACCGTATCGGATTACTGGGCTAATTGTCGTCATGCATTTTAACAGCAAAATAAACGTCAACGCTTACTGGCAGTGTGAGTTCAAAAATATGTCCCTATTGTTTTCTGTTAACCCACCGCGGCTGTGCATGGCTGGCAGCCACCAACGCTTGGAATCCAGTGATCCTTTTCAAACCTGTTCTGTTCACTGATGTTTCTGATAGCGCTGCATCTGATAGCGTCAGGGATATTTACCTTTCCGAACGTGAGATAGAGCAAATTCACAGGTGGCAAAACAGGATTTGAGGATAAAAGTGAGCCCAGCTTCTTATTGCTTAGTACTTGAGAATGTCTTTTTTAAGAAAATGCTTGTTCTTTCTTATGGTTTTGACTTCCAGGTAAATGAACTGAGTGTCAGATAGGTCCAGTTTAAGCACTTTTAATTTAAAAAAAAAAACTTAACTTTTATGCAAATTTAAGTAATCAAACCAGTTGGATAATGAAAACACAAGTCGTAGAGCAATGTGGGGAAGTGGAAAAAGCAGTATATCATCAACATAAAGGGAAACTTTCTGCTTATTGGGGCTGATTAGTGCTGACAGTGTTGAAGTGGTTTAGATTAGATTATTCTCTTCAAACATGTGGTGAACCAGTAGAACCAGACTCAATACCAAGGCTCATCCACTAAAGCAGTAGTCGTTAAACGAATAAATAAAACAGACTTCATCAATAACTCTGTCCAAGAAATACACAGATAAATACAATGTAAATTAACAAGGACTCCAAAAACACCTAACAGAAAGAGAAGATGAAATTAAAGGCAGCAGAAGCTGCAAATAACCCATAAGAGAAAACAGCAGAATGAGGAGAAATGTTAAGTCCTGTCTCATTATCTCAAAACAATGCCAAAGAATTAAAATTCGGAGCCTATCAGCTCTGGAAGATGAGAGAAAGGACAAAACTTGAAGAAGTTCCTGTTTGCAACTTGCTGTCAGGAGAAGGACTTGAAATAGACTCCATTGAAAGGCTGCCAGCCAGCCAGCAGCACATCGGCCAAAATAAATGTAACTGAACTGATTGAACATCCTGGCAACCTGCCCACGGCGTAAATCACCCTTCACTCAATGCCTGCTTTCACCGCCAGGCCCTCACGACCCCAAATGAGATTAAGCAGGTATAGAAAATCAATGGATGGATAATACGTATTTAAAACCCCCTAATAGAAAATAGTTTTGTGCTGTAAAGCAGCAACCAGAGTCATTATCTTCGTCTTCTTGCTGGTCGGTTAGCAGCAGTTGTTCCTGCGCAGCGAGTTGCAGCAGAGCAAGACGAAATCCCAAGACAGGATTTTAGAAATGAACTTGACTCAGCTTAAATGTCTTATAAACCTTTCGGTCACAGCGAGTGGCCTATTTTTCAAGTATAATTAAAATGAGACATTTTTGCATTTAGAAAGCAGCACCTAAAGGAGAAACTACAACCCCCTGTCATTCATGTGACTACTTTCCCTGTTTCTATGCGTTTATTATTAGTTTTTCTGTTGAGTTAGTTTTCTTTTTCTAGGAGTCTCACAGCTGGCCCAGAGGTGACTCTCACGCCAGAAAACAGCTGCTGCTTTTCCACAGATGACTTTCAGCGCAGGCAACAGAAATTATTATTCAAGCTGCTCAGAGTCATACATTTAAATGCAAATTCTCTTCTGCACATTATTGATTGTTTAACTCCCCTCACTGCTGCTTGCTGGGGGTTTTTTTTGTTTGTTTGTTTGTTTTTTTGCATGCTTTGCAGATGCTCTGTACTTGTGGACTGCGTGGCATCCCATCACAGACCCTCTGAAATCAATAACTTCACTATCATTGACTATAGATTGCTTGCCTTTGGATAAATGACTCCCAGCGCAGAATCAAAGTACGTTAACAGTTTTTTTATTTATTAATAATTTTTTATTTTATTTTGAACAGACAATAGCTAAACATAAAATAATAATACTAATAGTTATGCCATTTCCTGCTGCTCTCAAACATGTCAAACAATCAATCATCTAAGTCACCCCACAACAATTCAACCCTGAAAGTTTTCCCACATTGAATAACATTTAAACATTCTTATCTTTTATTGTACAATTATTTACACATTATTAACCTCAACAATAGCGATTTTTCCCTTCTGAACAACAAAAATTATTTTTCATTTAAAATCTTTTCTTCTTAAATTGTGACTTCTCTGTCAGGATTTTTTTGAATATCGTGTGGAAGTTTAGTTTCTTGCTTGAACATAAATTGTCTGGCTTTAAGTTTTGCAAGGTCACTACGTTTCCCTTACAAATGTTCACAAAACTTTGTCAATTTTCTGCTAATGTCAAATGTTCATAAATAAGAAGCGATTAAAATCACTCTTGTTCACGCAATAAGTCATTAAAAAACATTCTCCTTCCACTTCCTCTCGTCTTCTTCTTCTTTTCCATCAGTAGTGACATTCGGTTGTTGATCGCAACAACAAAAAAAAAATAAAGTCCTTCCATTGCAGTTTTAAGAAATTCAGCAGGAAAAAAAAACACATCCTACACCATGAGTTTATTTGACAACGGCGAGCAAATTTATTTTCATTACTCCAATTTGCTCAATGCTATGCTCAGTGAAAATACAACCATCAGAGATCAATCAAAGCTTTCAATGTTGTTGTTTTTCTGTCTGACAGTCTGAAGACCACCCTGAAGAAGCGTCTGTCCGGTGACGTGGTGAACCTGTCAGGAATCCCGCTGTCCGGACGCGACGTCCACCGCGTGTCCTTCTACCTGCAGAGCTGCAGCGACGCCGTGTCGGCTGTGGACCTGAGCTTCACCGAGCTGCAGGACGAGAGCTTACGTCTGCTGCTGCCCGTCCTCAGCTGCCTCCCCAAACTGACCACGCTCGCCGTCAACGGCAACCGCCTCACCGCCGCCATTCTGAAAGACCTGACGGAGACGGTGAAGGATCCCAGAAAGTTCCCCAGGCTGGCCTGGATCGACATGGGCAACAACGTGGACATCTTCACCGTCCCGCAGCCGCTGCTCGTGGCCCTGCGGCGCCGCTTTGGTTTGCGCAGCAGCCTGCCCACCATCTACGAGTACAGCGAGGCTCAGGTGTTTGGTAGCTACAACCCAAACATGGAGACGTCTGTGGAGGAACCCAGTCTGTATGAGGAGGGGGATGTAGAGGAAGACGATAGAGTGGAGGAGGAAGAGGAGGAGGACAGACTGGAGCTTCGAGCCTGGGGCTTCAGAGAGGACAACATGTCAAAGAATGTGCCGCTCCACTTCTGTGGGAGGTGATCGCCCAGGGCGGCTTTCTTTCAGACTGGCAGCCTCTTGTATCCTCAAGTCTCATCTGCTCTGCTAGAGTGGCAGGAGATGCTGACGTTGACCCACACGTTTCTGAAAATAACTTTAAAATGAGTAACCATGTTGTGTGTCTCTGTGGACGCTGTGAACACTGCAGACAGCTCTGGGCTTTTACAGTCAGTAGGAATAAATTTGTACACTGATTCAATCTTTATTTATCCAGGGAGGTTTAACTGAACAGGCTTGTTGTTTTCCAGTGCAACATGATTGTAAAACTGGGAGATTTCCTGTAAAGACTCTCCCAGTTTTCCAAAACTGTCCGCTGGAGCCGCGTGGGAATTAAGTGCCTTAAACATGGAGGAGCTGCTGAAGAAGACAGGATCGTTACATGGCTTTTTACTTTATGTAGGGCTAAAGTTGCTGGAATCAAGGTTAAGTATAAACCTGGCGCTGTAAATATATTACAACAACTTTCCAATTAAAAGCCCCTTTGTTTATTTATTTTCCGTCTCAGCAAATGCAGAAAGAGGACAAAGGTCGCTTGGAGATGTACAGTAATTTTAATACCTCAAAACAAAGCATTTTCATCTGCAGATAACAAAACTCTAAATAGAATAAAATAGAAAATGTAGACTTTTGAAATGAAATTGGGGAAGACAATATAAGAATTAAGAGAAAGACAGGCTGAAGATATAAAGTACATATAAACATGGATTTTCTGCAAAAATACATATTTAAAAATGACCAACAGAATCCATAAGACCATTAAAAACAGACGTAAATGAAATGCATATAAAAAAAAAACAAGAACATGTAAAAATGCTTCCATATTTAACTAGCCAATGACATATTTTGTTTAAAAAAATCTTGCTATCCCATATTTACTTGCCAGCTTTATTGCAAGTCTGCTACATTTGCCAAACTTGGAGCTAATTTGAGAATTCGATCCTGATAAACACACAATAAACACCATAACAACAAACATTAAGGCAGCTAAAATCTATTCAGTGAGTTTCCAAAAATTGTGTCTCCGTTGTTAAAAATCACCCAAAAATGAATGTTTAACTTCTCGTAATGTCATGAAACTTTCTGCTGAGCTCCGGAGCTTCCTGCAGATTCTTCTGATGCCTCAGACATTTTTCAGCTTGACTTCAGTCCAGATAGTAACAAATTAACACAAAGCAAATCTTTTGAAACAAGATCACACAGTGATGGCGTTTGGCAGAGACTTTTTGCTATTAAATGGAGCGAACTGTGACAGAGACTTCTCTCCCGGCACAGAGCAGAGGAAGGATACCAGAACATTGTTGTATTGTTCTGAGGTGGCGAGAAGCGCAGCAAAACCTTTTCGTTTTGCATCATGTCTGAGAAAGCTGTGATCTCTGTTAATCAGATCAGGAGAGGCTCGCAAAAGAAACAACAGCGTCAACAATTATTCTATTTTAACGGTTGCAGGGCCAGTTTTATAAAAGTTTAATGGCCACAAGTCCTAAAACTGCATTTGGCAAAATATGCAGGCAGAGAGTCGCTTCATTAATATTAAACCCAAAGTAAAACATGATTTCTCACCCACGGGGTGATGGACTCGTCAGAATAACAATTGGTGCAGAGCTGCAGTGAACAGAGACAAGGCTTCAGGGGGAAGAAACACGAACGTCCTCAAGTCATCCGGATGGATCTAGAAGACGTAGATTATTTCTGAAGATGACGCTGAACGCCATCATCATCAAATGTGAAGAGGAAATGAAAACTTGGCACAGAGACAAAGGTGTCAGATGCAAAGTAGCTGTGTTTTAACTTTATTTTCAGTAAATGAACATAATTGGGCGCAGACTAGTGAGCAGTATTGACGTTTCAATAAGTTTCATTGAATGTGCATTCTTTAGCGTCCATTGTGCTGCCCCCTGTCATAATGCATTTAACAGTATTTTTGCTTTGGCTCGTGTGATTTTCACCATGACTCATTAAGAGGAAGACACATTTGTTTCCATTTTTTTTCCCCGAAAATGGGATTCATTTGTCGTGCTTCTATGAGCGATACATCTGTAGCTGCTGCTAAGTGTCTTTACAGAGAAAAGCCATGTCCTGATGCACACACTCAGGCCGCTGATGAACTGATTACTGCCTCTATCAGGCCTCGTTATCCCCCTTCTGTCACAGATGGTGTGTAGAGCTTCGGGTTTTTTCTTTTTCTCTTAGAAAATAGGACTGGCCCCAGATAATTTTGGCCAGTGATGATTTCTGAAGGACTCTATTTATGAATTTGACTCCCCGTTTTCAGGATTTAGTCACCACAACAAGAAGCTCTGCTGCTGCTCTTTCTGCTGTTGTACAGGAAGCTCTTTGTTGTAGCATGAAAACAAGCTTTCTTTTTTTTATTGATGTTACTGTTTTGGGTTGTTTTTAAGCAACTAGGTGTGACTTGGGGGAGAGAATTTCTTCAAGTGAACTAGTTTTTTAGTCAATTTGAGCTTTTGGGGGGTAAAATTAAAGACAAAAATTGAAGCCTGTGAATGTGGCTCCTCACTCGCCTGCTCCGTGTCCTGCCTGCAAACAGCATGGTGGGGTTTGTTTTATTTCCTGCTTATTATTTTGTGAAAATCTGCTTCCTTGTCTTCTGAGAACAGAACGGCAGATTTGTGTTCCTGCGTAAGTTTCTGCGAGAAGGTAATTAGAGCGTGCGTCTGTTTATGTTGTGGACACACAGAGTAAATTGCTACCTTTGATCATAGAAATGAAATGTTTGCTCATTTGCACTTTTAAGAACGACTCGGTCCCCGTATGCGTAATTTGGTTCTTTTTTTGTTTGTTTCGTTCACTGGCACAAAAACAAGTTGTGTCCTAAGAAAACAGATTTTTGTTTTTCTCAACTTCTTTGGTTTGTGAGTTAAATCTTCAGCCTTTTTATTAACGTTGGTGTTGTGATAAAATCATTCGTGCGTTTGCTCGGTCTTGGTTTTTGCTGTTCTGGTTCGTTTCTAAGGTGGAAACAGTGTTTGCCTGCAGCTGCTTAAAATAAAAAGTGATTTCAATAAGATAAGTATTTTTATTGACTCTGTTTTATTTATTTATTTATTTCATCATGTCTGGAATAATAAAAATATTCCTCGAAGGTGCAGCACTATAAAGTTTAGCCTCATCCCAAAGTTTAAAACTGAAACTCAACAAAAATCCATTTATTTTGTGCTTGGTGATATGAATAGTGATTTCTACTGGAACACAAACAGCTATAGAATTGAATGCTTCAGTGCCAAGTTTTCTTTTTTCCAAGCAGAAAATGTGATTGATGTGATTTCCACATCAATCTGGGATGTTTTGCTAATCCAAACATTCAGTTTTTGATGTGTAATCTAAACCCTGCTGCAAAAACTGGATGTTTCTTCCATGTAATAATTGAAACTCTAATACTGGAGATATGATCTGTTTTAATTTTCAACCTTTAGAACGAAAATAAACGTATTACCTTAATCGTAAAGCTGACTATATTTATGCACTAACCACTGCTGACGCTCTCATTTTGTCCAGACAAGGCTTTGAATTTTGATGAAAGTAGATATGAGAGTTAAACACTGTTGGTGCATTTATAAAGCACCAACAGCAAATTTCACCTCCAGGTACTTCACTAATGGTTTCAATTGATTTTTCCACTACTTTGCTTGTTTGTTATGCTGTGGACAATATATTATATAATAACATAATTTATTGTAAAAGTATTTGAACCCCTGGACATTTTTACATGTTATAACTTTGCATTTAACGTCGTAGCGCTTCTTCTGGCTTTTATGTGATCGACCAACTCAAAATAGTGGATTAATAAGAACTGAAATATGAAAACTGTGTCACATATTTAGATTCACCAGCCCTGTTTTCCTTCAAGTTTACAAAGATATTTGAGCTAGAAACTAACTCAGAGAACATAGGTGGTTGTTTTATGCCAATAATTCATCAGTATTGAAGGAAAAGTATCAGGTCTAAGGACAATAATCTGCCAATGGAAAGAGACATTTTTACCCAAAGTATAAGTTAAATCACACCTTGAACAATTTTGTGGTTTTGTAGTTTATTAAAGGTCGTGGGAGACTGTACAAGATCCAAGTCTTTCCTGGTCAGGTAACATTTCCACTATCCAATGTTCTTAGAAACAAACTCCTCTTCCCACATTGTGTGCATAAACTAGCATTGCTCCTTTTGCATTAATCACCGACTGCGGACAGGACCAGAACCATGAAAGTGCATAGCGCTCATTCTTCTAAGACTCTTTGCAGAGATTGTGATGGCTCAGCTTTCCATGTCAGCATCTAATACTGGTGTTGATGAGCGCGGCCTCCCTGCACGGGCCTGTCGAAGGGCTGAATAACGTCAACATCCTGCTGACTCGGAGCGACTCTGCTGGCGAGGGGGTTTCATGTTCGTAGGGACAGAGCCTCAGGCATCCATCTGTGATCTCCATCCGTTCAAATAAAGGAAACAGCAGAGTCGGATAATGGAGGAAAGTGTTCTGGTTTGCAGCCAACATCGAAGAGCTTCATCGTGTCTGTACGTTGTGTCAGACATAAACGCTGCCTTGTTTACACGGCTAGAGGATTTGTATGGTTTAAACAGAAATGATGATGACTGTTTGAGAATTGTCAACAAAAAATTTATCAAGACTTTTGAAAAAATAGCATTAGAATAGTAATAAATACTTAATTAGATGGAAAACTTCAGCAATTTTAGTAGCCACTGTTTTATATTTCCTTTTTCTTACATTGTGTTTTAACAAAACGCTTTCAGCTACAAAGTCATTCCTCGCTGCTTAATCTTTCAAAAATAAAATCATGATTGATTAGCCGGTTATTCCTCTGTGACTTATTAGGTCAGTGAATCCGGGGCGTCAGTTTCTGTTCACCGATTAGTTTTAGAGACTGCTATTAAGATTATAAGTTTCACCGAGATCCTCACGTAGGACTGTTGGCAACTTGGGGGAAAAAAAAAAATCACAAAATATGAAATTCACAATTACAGTTGCTCAGTTTTAAGCTTTAAAGATATACTCTGTGCAGAAGTTTATGACATAGAAAAAGAGAAATACTTTTTGAAATGATGATTTGGAGATGCAATTGGGACGACTAGACAAGAGAAATATATATTTTTGTCCTTTGGTTGTTAGGCTGGTTGGACGGTCAGTATGTTGGTTGGTGTAATTTCAGGTACTTGTTTACATGGTTTTAAACACAGAATAGATTAATTACCAATTATTTCTTTTCTATCAATGTCAAAATGTCATCAAGTCACACGATTAATGACAGGTTTTAGAGAACGCAGGAATAGTGAAGGACTTTGTTTCTGCTGAATGTGAATCTAATGTTAAATCAAGCAACGGATGTTTTTTTTTTTTTTTATTTAACCGTTTGATAAAAATTTGTGGCTGAGATTAAAGCACCTGATTCATAAACCAGCAATGGAGCTCATTAGTCTGTGACCCGGTTCTGATCAAGAACCAGCAACAGGTCACAGGTTTGCACAGAATGTTCTGGCTTCCAGGCAGGTAAGAAACATTTTCACTGGTCTGAATTTTTTTGCGTTTCATCCTGACACTCATGCTCTTAGACTTGCACAGACAGATCAGCGGATAATGAACGAGAGAACAGTCTGATCCATTCATCGCCACTGCAGAAGTTTAACAATCATGAAGTTGATGTCGGGATCAAACCGAGACAAATGTGGAAACAACGTAGCTAAAATTGTTTTTATCATTTCTGGATGGCGTAAAAAACATTTTCACTCGAATAAATAGATTTTATCTTCAACAAATTGTATGTGGGGGGTTTTAAGAGGGTAAAAATATATATCCTGACATATCATGTGATCCACTCCTGCTTCCAACTATTGATCCAAATACGGCTTGTCCAAGGTCAGAAGGGAAACCCAGACACCCCGTCCCTGGCGGCTCTCTCCAGCTTATTATCTGAGACTCCCGGGCGTTCCCAGGTCAGAAGGGGTTTGTCGTTGCTCCAGTGAGTTGTCAGTCTGCCCGGGAGTCTCCTCTAAGGGTCCGATTACAGTGAAAGCTGTCTCCCTGGTAGGTTCACATAGGGCGAGATGGAGCTTGTTCCGTGTGGTTTTCACTTCTGTTTCCTTTCTCCCAATGTGATGAAGTGACGAGTCTGAGGTGGAGAATGCAAACCTGTGAATAAGATGAAAGATGAAACATTGAGCTTATCCTAAATTTATCTGTCATTTCACATTTAGCCCATTCAGTTTCCAGCCAGCCTATTTCATTCCTATGATTGATTCTCATCTCTCTTCAGTGCTCCGGCTGGCATTTCTCACATGGAGCTTGATTTCATCCTGGTTTATTATCAAACATGAGGAGTTGTGAACAAATCTTAGTCTGCCATGTTTGTAGTTTGGGAATCTTTGACTGAAGAAAAAACAAACACATTTATCAAGGGAAACAATTAAGTTGTTTTGTCTTACATTATTTTATTTCTACTTTATCATTTTATTATGAATTTTTAAGGAAGTATATCCTAAGTTCAAAAATCAGTAGCATTTTTTTAACTCTTTTTATTTGACTTTAATGGCATTTAGATGATTTCTGTTTTTATCTTGTCAGAACTACTTTAGTTTTCAATGTCAGTAAAACATAAACACATGTTTCATTTATCTTAAGGTTTCTTTAAAGTGATGCCTCATAATTATTATGTTATCAATGCTTGCCAGAGGTTGTTGGCATGTTTTCCTCTTGTTTTAATTTCTAAACTGGACGTTTGATGAAGCATATTTCGATTCAACATAAGAATTTAGTTTTCTTGACTCCACATCTGGAATCAGTGAATCGAACTAGTGGCTGGATTTTCAGGCATTTAACATCATTCTGTCGTTAAATGAAATGTCAGGATTATCTGTTTTGATCCCATAAAAACCTCAGTTGTTTGTTGGGAATCTGAAGCTGAGGAGACGTTTTGGTTTTCAGCATCACAGTATACTTTTATGATAATGAGAATTTTGTATTTGTTTTCCAAACAAAACAGTCTGGAAATTTAACAAAAGATCAAAAACAGGCTCAAGATGAAGGAGGATTTTTTTTTTTCTAAGTGAACTCGCTGTTAAACCAAGCATTCACATCGCTTCACTTCAATCAGGTTTATGGAATAATCTTTGAAATAATGCGACGCTTACAGTTTCCACTGAAAGAAAAAGATGCTGGTCAAGTGTTGCAAAAGAGAAAACTTCAAATTACATTTACATTTATTGCAGTTAAGCTAATGATAGTGATTTATAAGTTAAGTTAAAGTATTATGAAGTTGACGTTTAAACTGGATAATCAGCCTCATAATTCTTTCAGCTTCTTCAGAAATCCACATTTTCTCAGCCATGTAATAGAAGTGGCTTTGGAAAGCACACATGCGCCACCTGGTGGCTCTCATAGCTAGCTGCAGGGGCCAGAGTCAACCAATAACATGTGTTAAGAGGGGATTTTTATATATATATATATTTATATATAAACCTCTGTTCAGTACAGTGTTGAGAAACTCTGTGCTGTTGCTGTTTTTTCTGACATGTTGTAACCTATCAAACAAAAGAAAGAGAGCAGAACACACATGCGGGTTCGTTCCCAGACAGATTGTTTCTCTATTTAGAGGTTTCGAACTAAATCTATTCTTGTTTATTTTGGAGTGTGTCGAAATGAGAGTCATCTGGATCAGAAACACACTTTTGCATTGTCGTTTCATGCTTTAAACCAAACCTGGCCTGTAAAAGTGTGTGCTGTGGAGGAACACTGAAGCGGCTCGTGTTTCACAATCCTGCAGGAAGAGAAGTGCTGCATTCTCTCAGGGGTTTATCGGTGTGCAGTCTGAACATGTCATCTGGACCTCATCCAAAGTTAGTATTGAAATTTGTTGAAGTGAAAAAAGAAATCCATTGGAGGTCTATTGTTTTCAGAAGAATTAGCTAAAATAAACTGTATTTTCCAGTAAAAGATTTCAATCATGCTGATGAACTTCATCCAACCAGGCTTAACTAGAAGCAGATTGGAGATTTGGACGATTCATT